TCGCTCTAGGCCAACATCCAAGATAAGGAAAGTGAAATGAGACAGGAAACTTTGAGAAAGAGGACTGCTCTGTCCCAGTCAACTACCGCAGGAAACACCTTGGTCCACTTCCACATGCACAGAGCCTGGGGAACCTGGATTTACCTCTGTCAGGGGCCGTAGGCTGGTGTTTCCCTCCCCACCTTTTGCAAAGGTAGTTTCAGAGAATACCAGGGAAAACAGAAGGGTTGAATAAGACCCAAAATCTGATGGTATAAAAAAAAGGTTTCAAAGAAACATTACTTACCAAGAACCAGAAAGATCTGACACTGCATGATCGAAGACAATCAACAGATGCAACAGAAGTACGCACACACACACACACACACACGCACACAGGGAGATCTTAAAGTGGCCACGATGAAAATCTCCAGTAAGCAATTATGAACCACCTGAAAGAAATGAAAAATAGGAAACCTCAGTAAAGGAATAAAAGATGTAAAGAACCAAATGAAGTTCTAGAGCTGAAAAATACCATAATTGGAATAAAAAGCTCGATGGATGGACTCAAAGGCAGAATGGGGCCGGTGCCGCGGCTCAATAGGCTAATTTCCACCTGCGGCGCCGGCACACCAGGTTCTAGTCCCAGTCGGGACACCGGATTCTGTCCCGGTTGCCCCTCTTCCAGGTCAGCTCTCTGCTGTGGTCAGGGAGTGCAGTGGAGGATGGCCCAAGTGCTTGAGCCCTGCACCCACATGGGAGACCAGGAGGAAGCTCCTGGCTCTTGGCTTTGGATCAGCGCGATGCTCTGGCCGCAGCGCACTGGTCGTGGCAGCCATTGGAGGGTGAACCAATGGCAAAAGGAAGACCTTTCTCTCTGTCTCTCTCTCTGTCACTGTCCATTCTGCCTGTCAAAAAAAAAAAAAAAAAAAAGGCAGAATGGCAGGGACAGATGAAAGAATCACTGAGCTGGAACACAGAACAAGATAGCAAAGGAGAAAGTAGACTGAGGAAAAACAAAGAGAGACCCAGAGACCTGTGGTACTACAAGAGTGCACACTCGCATCATCAGAGTCCCAGAAGAGGAGAGAACGGGGCTGAAACTGAAGTCTAAGAAATGGCGGCTGCAGTGTCTCAAATGTGGCAGGAGGCAACCACCTCAAGTTGTTCATAGTCAAACCAAATGAACACTAAGATATCTGCACCAAATCGCATCACAGTCAAACTTGTAAAACATGAAGACAGAACTCTGACAGGAGTGAGAGAAAATGGCGTGTCACCTGTATGAGGAAAGAGAATTCATGTCAGTGGATATTTCATCAGATGGCACCAAGGCCACAAAGAAGTGGCCCCGTGTTTTTTAAGTGCTGGAATTAAAGAACTATGAGCCAAGAATTCTAAATCTAGTGAAAATAGCGTTCAGGACTGAGGAAGAATCAAGACATTCTTAGATGAAGGAGAACGAAGAGAAGTTTTGCCTAAAGAGATCTCCTCAAAAAAGTGGCTAAAGAAATTTCTCTGCCTGGAAAGCGAATGTTAAAGGGCCAACATTATGGCATTAAGCCTCTGCCTGTGATGTCGGCATCCCATGTGCGTGCCTGTTTGAGTCCTGGCTGCTGCACTTCCAATCCAGTACCCTGTTAATGTGCCTGGGAAGGCAGCGGAAGATGGTCCAGGTCCTTGGGCCCCCGCACCTTTGTGGAAGACCAAGAGAAAATTCCTGGCTCCTGGCTTTGGCCTGGTCCAACCCCAGCCATTGTGGCCAGTTTTGGAGTGAGCCAGCTGATGGAAGATCTCTCCCTCTCTTCCTCTCCCTCTCTTTATAACTCTGCCTTTCAAATAATTGAAGGAGGAGGAGGAGGAAGAAAGAAAATGATAACAGAAGGGAAACTTGGAATGCAAGAAGAAGAGGGAACAGACTGAACAAGAATAAGGGCAAACATTATATAAATTCAATAAATTCTATTTGATAGTTGAAGCAAACATTGTAAGATGATCTGATGTGATACTCAGTGTGTGTAGAGGAGACAGTACGGGTGAGAGGAGGGACGGTAGGGGATGCTAAGTGTCTGTAATTCTCCAGAACTGGTAAAATGACCAGAGACACTGATCGGAGGTTGTTGTCTGCACAAGAAAGAATTCAGATGTTAGGCAGACAGCAGCAGGAAGCTTGCCAGCCAAGCCTAATGAAGAGCAAACACTGGCAGACGAGGCGGGCACCTCTGGAAAGAACGGAGAGCCGGGTCTGCAGACTGCGGTGTGGCTGTGCCCCGCCCCCACCTCCCTGCATTCCTCCTCCCTTCCTCTCTCTTCTGGGAAATAGCTGGGTGGAGGCCTTTCTGGATGTGGAATTCCTGAAAACCTTCCCAGGGCTTTATCAACAGCAGTATGGGACCTAACAACTCTCTCCTCAGTGCAGGGCGGGGAGAGGATCGGAGAAGCCGCCCCCAGGGAGAGGGCTGGGATCCGCCTAACGAGGTAATGCAGGTTTTCTCCCAAGATGTCTTTCCTTGTTCCATCACACAAAAATTCCCCTTCCTTTTGGCCTCTTTTCACACATAGGCTAACTAACACCACCACTGAACTGTGATACATGAAATGCAATGCATAGAGGAACCACTAAGAAGTCTATACAAAGAAATAAACAAAAATGGAACTAAAAAATCGATAAAATAACCCACAGGAAGTCAAAAGAGAAAACAGGAAACAGAAAAGTAGGGAAGAAAATGGCAAACTGTAGCCCTACCTCGACAGCCATTACGTTGACTATAAAGGGTCTAAAAAACCAATTAAAAGACAGACGTTGGCAGAATATTTTTAAAATGATCCAACCTTATCTTGTTTACAAGAAACTCACTCCAAATAGGGTAATTGTTAATGCGGAAAATACCATGGGAGCTACAAGCTGAACCAACCCAAACCCTCCTGTATCCATATCTGGTAAGTGAGCTCGGGCCAGTGTCATCAGAGACTGCTAGTCAGAGGTTCCTGTCTGCACAAGAAGGAATTGGTACCTGGAAGCCTGCTAAGCAAGGTTAATGAAGGGAGGACCCCCGACAGAGGAGGTGGGCATCTGAGGATGTGCATTCAGACTGACGTTTTTACAGCATTGGCTGTGGGCCTCTTATTACCCCACCCCCTTGCTGGGACATTACTGGGTGGAGGGTTTTCTGGACGTGAAATTCATCAAACTCCCCACAGGACTTCATAATGAACCTAACAGCCCCCTTGGAGTAGGATGGGGAAGGTTCCCCTGAACTGGCCCTGGGAGAGGCCTGGGACCCACTCACCCCACCCAACAACGTTGTCCAACAAGCACGAGACTTTCGGTGTGTAAATGCTGCTCTGCTCCTGGTTTCCACGCTTTTCCCTCCTTGAGCCATACAAAAGTTGTTCCCCCAAAATTCCCATTTTCTTTGGCATCTTGAACATACAAGGGCCAATGTCCACCTAGCTACCTTAGCAACGGATACAACAGCAGCATACAAAAATCAAATATGTTTCCATATATTGGGATTAACAAGAAATTAACAGGTGGAAACATTAAAAATATGTAACATTAATAATTGCTTTAAACAAAGTGTAAATCTGATAAAACATTGTATTCTGAGAATGATACAACCAAGGAGAGTTGAATAAACAGAGATATATCATGTTCATGGATTGGGAGATGGATCATAAAAATTGGTATCCATGTGTAATGCAATACCTATCAAGATTATTCTAAAATTTATATGGAAAGAACTAGAATAGTTAAAGCAACCTTGACAAGAAAAACAAGATGCTAGGAAGCAGCCTACCCATTCTCAAGATTACGCAGCAAAAAACACCTGTAGCATTAGTGGTAGAGGGATAGCCACAGATCAATGAAACAGAACAGAGAACCCCAAAACAGACCCACACAGTAGGTCAACTGGATTTTAACAAAGATGCAGGAGCAATTCCAGGGAGGAAAGGCAGCCAGTGCTGGAGCCATTGCACATTCATAAATGAACCCTGATCGAAATCAAACACTGTACAAACCAACTTAGAACGAGGTACAAACTGAAACACAGATCTGCACAACTTTTAGAGGAAAGCATAGGAGAGGATCTTCAGAGAGAAGCCTAAGGAAAGAGTTCTTAGATCTGGCACCAAAAGCGTGATCCACAAAGGGGAATGCTGCTCAGACGTGTTCGGTCCAAACGGGCATGCGAGGACCCTGTTAAGAGGGAGGAGGGAGGGCGAACCGCCCGAGGGGGAGAGGGCTTTGCACGGCACACATCTGACGCAGGCTTCGTGTCCTGAACTCTTCAAACGCAACAGCAAAAGCAACAAACAGTTCGAAAATGGTAAAAAAACAAGGGAGAGGCATTTCGCTGAACATGGACAGTGACAGACGAACTACTTGAGTCATTCAGTCAATGCACAGGAAAGCCACAGTGAGAGCCGGCTGGGTGGCTGGGCGCTTCCCAGAAAGGTAAAAAACAACTGATAACACTGAACACCTACAAGAATGCTGGCAAACTGGATTGTTCAGTGCTGCTGGGGGACTGTGAGAGGGCGCAGCCACTCTGGGAGACATTTTGGCAATGTCTTCAGAAAGGGAGCATGACATTTCCATACAATGCAGCACCCACTCTCCCGGGCATTTCATCTCAGAGAAACACTGTTACTCTCATGTGCCCCACCCCTCCACCAAACCCGTGCATTAGCGTCTATGGCAGCTTCACTAGCACCCCAGATGTCCGTGAGCGGGTGGCTCGTCACACCGTGGAGCACCTGCACGCAAACAGCAGCTCCTAAAAGGTCACGAGCCCATCCACAGAACATTGTTGAAATGGCAAAATTCTAGAAGTGGAGAGCAGACGAGTGGTTGCCAGGGCTTCGCGGGGTGGTGAAGATAAGCGAGAGTGGAAGTGGCTGCAGTTCTGTGGGGTGGTGGGAGGGGTACTAAGTAAAGGGGACGCAGCCTGTTTTATTTTTTGCAGCTGTTTGTGAATCTACAATTATCCCCCAGATAAAAAGTTCAGTGAAAAGAAAGGGCAGATCCATCCCGAGGGCAGTCCCCATGTAGTGTGTGTGCGTGTGCATGTGTGCGTGTGCATGCTATCTCTGTGTGCGGCAGACTCTGCCTGCTGCTCAGACGGAACGAAGCCTGGTTTCAAACCCCCATTCCCTGACCCGGGCAGGCTCAGCCCCGACTCTCGTTCTACTCCCCCTAAAATAAAGTCTTTATCCACTTTCTCTCTCTCTGGTTAAGATTTATTTATTTCAGAGGCAGATTTACAGACAAAGAGATATCTTCCATCTGCTGGTTCATTTCCCAAATGGCTGCAACGTCCAGGACTGGGCCAGGTAGGAGCCAAGAGCCAGGAGCTGTTTCTGGGTCTCCCACGTGGGTGCAGGGGCCCAAGGATTTTGGCCATCTTCCACTGCTTTTCCAGGAGCATTAGCAGGGAGCTGGAAGGGAAGCAGAGCAGCCAGGACTCGAACCGGCACCCATAGGGGATGCCAGCGTCACAGGTGGCAGCTTTACCCGCTGTGCCACAGTGCTGGCCTCCTCCTCTCCCTTCTTTGAACCCTAAGATCCTAAAACCTAACACCAGCCACCCTTCCTTTCCATACATCACAACCCAAGGATAATCCAGGTGAATTTAGCACAGCCCCCAGCTCCCCACCCCTGCACTGCTGTCCCTAACCCTCCACCTGTGTGACTCAGGAACCACGCCCTCTCTGTCGAGCCCTGGGGACCTGCCTGAGGCCAGAGACTGAGTCAAGTCACTCATCACTGCCCGCCACCCCAGCTGCTCACCGGCTGTTTCCAAGTTTAGAGGAAGGCTCTGCTCCGGCCTGGGCCTCCTGTGATCCAAGGCTGTGACGCTGAGACAGCGGCTCGGCAATGCTGCAGTGGAAAGTTATTGGCCACAGAAGGAAGGACACAGAGACTACTCGAGGTCAGTGTGAGGCTACTCAGGTCAGCGTGAGTCAGGGGCACTTCTCAAACTCTGGGGCTGGCACTCAGGTGAGGAGACCAAAGCGCAGATGGTTGGGACTCTCAGCCGAGTGGCTGTTCCTGTCCCCTCCATGGCCACATGACCACTTGTACTGGACATAGTGCAGACTTTGTGCCAGCCTGTGTGTGATACTGTGTTTGGAGATCTGGCTCCTGCGGTGGTGGGAGGATGGCTGGAGACGGAGGGTATTTGTGGGCTCTAAGCCTGCCTCTCCTCTATGTCCTGGGGGTGTGTGCAGGGGTCCCTCTCTGAGCTGTGGCTGTGTGTGTGTGTGTACATGTGTGTGTGTATTCCTGGATTGTCTGTCTCCGTGTCTGTGTTACTTTCTAAGAGTGTCTAAGTCCCCGTGTGAGCTTCTGTGGATGTCATGTGTGTGAGCATGTAGTGTGCATATGTGCATGCATGTGTGGCTGTGCTGGGAGCATGTGTGGCTGTGCTGGGAGCATGTGCGCTCTCTGCGGAGTATCACTGTGTGCAGCAATGCCTGCGCCAGGGACCCTGTGTGCACATGCGGTGTCTGTGTGCCCCTGTGAAGAGTCTGCGGCAGTGCTGGCATCTCTGTGCACACATGAGGGTGTCTGTGTGTTCCCGTGCACGTGCTGTCTTGGGGATGGCTCTGTGCGCGCGCCGGTGCGCGGTGCGCCCTTCCGCACGGAGGCCCTGGAGAGCCTAGCTCCACTCATGGCCCCCTGACAGTCCCCAGGCCGCCACCCCGGGGCGCGGCCGCCGGCGAGGCCGGCGGGGAGGAGCGCGTGGCCGGGTTCGCGGGCGGCGCCCCCGCTCCTCCCCGCGGGCCGGGCACACGTGGGCCCCGGGGCGCCGCCTCCCCGCGCCGCCCGCCGGTCCCGCGCGTCCCCACCCACCTCGGGCCGCCCCCGCCGCCGAGCCGGCCCGGGGATAAAGTGGCGGCGCAGACGCCGCGCCCTGTCGCCGCGGAGCCGGCCGCGCGCAGCTCGTCCCTGCCCTGGCCCGCCGCAGACTCGGACCCGCGGCGCTCGGGGAACGCGATTGCGGTGCTCGTGGCCCCGGTAACTGCTCCCCCGGCCCCCGCCCCAGCCAGCCAGTGCCGCCGCCGCCAGGGGCGAGGCCGGCATCGGGGTCCCCGGCGCGCTCGGCGAGCCCGCGCCCCCCGCGTGCGTGTGTCTGGCGCGCGTGGCGGTGCGCGTGGCAGTGCGCGCGCGTGCGCGTGTGTGTGCGGGCGCGCGCGCCGCCTGCTGCCTCGCGCCAGCCCCCAAACCAACTTGTCCCCGGCAGCCGCATCTCGCAGCCGGTGGTGCGCGGACCGCGGGCCGGACCCCCGGGGGTGCCGGTGGCGTTTGCGAGCACGGCCGCGGGGCTCCCTTCCCCGCGCGGTCGGGGGCACGCGGGAAGCAAAGTTTGCCGAGGAGCCCCGGGGGCACGTCGTCCCGGGGGGCGCCTGTGTGCGGGTGCGGGGGGGGGGCCCTCGTGTGCGCGCAGCCCCTCCTTCCGCGGCCCCTCCCGCGGGTTGTTTAGGAAAAGTGATGCCACCAACTAGCAGCCGGGGCTCCAGGCGCCGGGTCCCGCCCCGGGGAGCGAGGAGCGGGGCGCAGGCTCCCGGCTCGGCACCCACGGCCCCGCGGGCAGGACCGCGCGGCGGGCGCGGGTGGGTTCGGCTCGGCTCGCCGGGCGCGGACGCTCGAGGCTGCCGCGGGCGTGGGACGCGAAAGCCGGGGCGGAATGGAAACAGGTCTGTGACCGCGGCTTTGGGGTTCGAGCGGCGAGGAGGGGAGCGGGGCGCCCTGCGCCTCGTGCCCGTGCCCCCTGGAAACTGTTCCTGGGAGGTTTTGATAGAAGGGGCTTCTCGCAGCTGGGTCTTTGTACCCAGCGAGCTGACTGTAATTTCCCCTTGATTACAGCTAAAATAGCCCTTAAGATGAAGTTTCCTGAAATGATTTAAAATAAACACAGATGGGAAGGGGTGGAGGTGGGGGGGGAGCCGTAAGGAGGCACTTAAAAAAATAAAGTGAACATTTTCTTAAGGACAAATGGAATTTTTTTTTTTCAGTCTTGGAGAGGTTTGCAAGAAATAGATGTATTTTTAAAAATCTCTGAGATGAAGTGTTTTTTGCTGGCTCTGGGCAAGGCTTTCCTCCAGTGCTCCTGACTTTGGAATATATCCCCCCTTCTTTTCAAGGGCTTGAAGACCCCTCCAGAATGCCGGAGGAGAGTTCCCCCCGGCGGACCCCGCAGAGCCTGCCGTACCAGGACCTCCCTCACCTGGTCAATGCTGATGGACAGTACCTCTTCTGCAGGTACTGGAAACCCACGGGCACACCCAAGTAAGTCCCCCGCCACCCAGAGGCCTGCGCCGCACCTGCTGCCCGCTGGCTTCGGTCTCCTCTCCCCCCGGGGCCACTTTCTCCATGACCTACTTGCCATGCCTTGTGAGCGTCAGGCATGGCTGTGTTGACACAACTGAGTTACCGACTTAAAAAAAGAATCAAGAGCTTGCTTTTTCATTATAGCTGGGATACAGCTTCTGCCATGTGGCAGTTTGCAGAAATTCCACATGACTTTTTGTTTGGGGCTCGAGTTGATCTCTTCTTGGACAGACATTTGTTGGAAAGCAGCCTCAGCTGTTGAAGGTACATGCCTGCAAACGGCTGAGCAAGCCCACACCGTGTCCGTAGCTCAGTCTCCGTGTTCTTTCCCTGTTGGTCCCCAGCTCCCGACACTGACACATGGGTGCGACCGGGAAGAAGGGGGCCAGGGTGGGTGGGTGGTCTTTCCTCCCTGTTCTTGCCAGCTCGATTCCTTGGTGCGTTTCTCCGTCAAGGGTTTGTCTTGCTGTTAGAAGCAGGCGCTGGAACTCTGCACCACCAGACAGCTGGCTTCCTGCTGCAAGCCTTCTCTTGGATGGAGCAGGAAAACCCTGCTGGTTTGTGTTATTCAGGGAAAGAAATTGTATTTGTGGCAACCAGTTGGCCTGATGACAGGCGGACATTTTCCTGCTCTGGGGACAGTTCACCTGTCTCCTGTGGGTCGCGGTGGGGTACGGGTTGTGTGTCTCCCAAATCACCCAGCCCTAGGACAGCCACGAGACAAGGTGTGCATGCAATACAGCTGGTGGTGCGTTAGAAGTGCAGATAGAGACCTGTGGAGACCTGGCTTAAAGTCCTGGCTACAGGAAAGCTGTGCCAACTTGCTGTGACGTTGTCTCTGGTGTGCCTCCAAGGTGGGTGATGGGCTAAGAGTTCCTATGAGTTCTGGCAATTATCTTTTTCTGAGATTTCCTATAAGTCTGTAAGTGCCTGGGTGTTAGAGGGAGGGAGGAGAGAAGGAAGGAGAGAAAGGGTTGTCAAGTATTATGATGCTAATTAATCATTAATTCTCTACTCTGACTCGCCTGGCTGCCGAACTGCATATCCTTGGTTTAACTTCTAACGAATTAGTCTACCACGAGTTATTTGATCTCTGCACTGAAAGAGGACAAGGGACTTTTTCCTGTCCCGTCTTGGGCTCCCAGGGGCTCTGTTGGTGGGGCTGTGAGCTTGCCCTAGTTTGCGGTCAGTACAAGAAGGAGGGCCTGCAGTCCCAGCCAGGGCAGGGCGCTGGGGAGTGGGTTGGGAATGGCCGAGTTGGCCGCCCTCCCTCGGCCGTGGGTGGTTTGCTGAAGTTGCGTGGTAGGCGGCTCTCTCTGCTGCGTTGCTTTTGCTCTGGATAGAGATGGCAGCTCAGCACGGCTGGGGCTGAGCCGTGGTCTCTGGCAGTCAGCGTGTGCCCTGGGGTGGCCGCCGATCGGAGCCAGAGTGGAGAGTGAGTGGCACCGGGGAGGCAGTAGCACCCTAGGATTTGGAAGAAACATGCGGGTCCGGACCAAGTTAAGGGCAGAAGGACCGACATGGAAATAGCAACAGAACCACTAGTGCCTGTGGCTCCATGAACCCTGCCCATCATGCTACCCTCATCTCAGAGAAGGAGCCGGCGAGGTCAGGGGCCCTGCCCGGTTCGCATGGCTAGGCCATGTGCACTACCCCCCTGGAGATGACGCAGACCCGTGAACTCCCTTTTTGGGGTTGGGGCGATCCATCTGGCAGGGGCAAGCTTCGAAACATTTCATAACCAGCCCCGAGCAGGTAGCACTGAGCAGGCTCCTGACAATGGCCTGCCTTACCTGTTAACCCTGTGGTTGCTGGATCTTGGGGAGGTCTGTGGGTCGTGGAGGAGCCGTCATAGCAGACAGAGCAGGGAGGGGCAGGGGATGGGATAGAGGTTTGTGCCGACTGGGCTGTACGCGTACCTGAGACCAGCCGCTCTGCACCTGCCGTCTTGCAGCAGTAGCTGAATAGCACCGTCCTGTCTGTTTTTCTGAGAGAGGGAGCCCTCGGATAGCCTGGGCCTGGGCCTCCACCTACCCCGACCCCACACCTCCCAGGGCCCTTTGGGCTTCATCAGGGTTGGCTTCTTCTCTCGCTTAGTCATGGGCTCTCCCAGCTAGGAAGACAGAGGAGAGGAGAAAAAGACGAGACTGAACTCTCTGGGCCTCCTCTACTGACCGAGGGAAAATGTCGGTCACACGTCCCTTCTCTGCACCTGCTGCTGTGTCCGCTCTCTCACAGAGGCCCTGGGGCCCCCCGGAGCCATCTGACGTCCATGGACCACCTTTCCTGGGAGGCCCACGCCTGCTTTCCTTAGTTGGCTCTCGTTTGGGTTGGGTTCTGGTCAACAAGTTGGCCCCTGCTCCTCGGAGCACTTGCTAGATGCAGCAACCCAGAGCTGCAGCCTGTGGCTGGTGTCAGCTGCGAGTCGGCAAACCGGCCCAACCTGCTCCGTGGAAGCAGGCCATGCGCCGATCAATACCAAGCTCCTCAGGACACGGGGAAGGCAAGAAGCCCTTCTAGGGGTAGCCCCGATGATCTGCAGGAGCAAACACAATGCTGGTTTGAATAGAGAGGCCTGAGTCTGCTCACCACGGATGAGAGAGCCCACCCCTCCACCTGGCAAGTTCATGGCCTTGCAGTAGAAGTCCACGGTCATAACAGAGCATACTTCAGGTACGGCAGAGTTGCTTCCTCCAAATTGAGCACCAGGGACCTGTTCTGGGGTCTGGAACCATCGATCTCATTTTATCATCACACCTGTGTGAGAGACAGGCTTGTTGCTATTCCTGTTTCCCCATGAGGAAGTGCAGGTTCAAAGTCAGAATGCTTGGCCCCAGATGGCCCCGCTCGGATTTGGTGGCTGGATTTGGCCCAGACCCGGCCACTCCCAGGCACTTGCTCTTCCCAACAACCCCGCCCCCGAAGGAGGCCTGGTTTTGTTTTCACAGATGGGGGTTTCATTTGGGGTGAGGGCAGAGATCACAACCCAGAGTAAAGAGAAACCGAGTAATTAATTCGCCTCAATCGCTTCCTTGTAACATGGTGAAAGTGGGAGGTAGATCAAAGTTCTGCCTCCATTCTGAAGAACAGAACAGAGGAATCTGATTACGCGGCGGCTGGCGGCTGACTTGTCCAGAGGCAGCTGGAACGCCAGCCGTTTTGCTTCTCTCCCAGATTTCCACGGACCCGTGGGGCCTGTCCTTGGCGGTTGGGCTGCCGGGATGGTCACGCTGCTCTTGTGCCCTGGAGGAACACCTGTAGCACCTGTTAGCTCAGTCCACGGACTGGGTGACTCTGAACCATCCGCTGCCCACGGGGACGGCTGAATGGTATTGCCACATGGAAGGTGGCAGGGGCCTGAAAACCATCCTCAGATGATGACTTGGACTCCAAGGAAGTCCTCGTTTGGTTCTGAACGGCCAGGGCGGAGCACACGGTGGTGGTCGGCCTGGCACCAGGTGGGCGGGAGGTGGGCTGCGTGCCTGCGCCAAGAGAGCCCTGCCTCTTTGTTTCGCATCCAGTTCTGCGCTGGCAGAAGCCTCCTAGAACCAAGCCACCTCTGGGGACCTCGCTGGCTTTGCCATGGTAGCTCTTCCCTCCAGGCACCCCGCAGCCACCCCTCGCCAGGGCTGCCTCCTTGGTACCTCCCCGC